CTTCAAATCTGTTGTTTTGATGTATGAGGTTGGGATGCTGAGGCTTGATGTTGTTGTTGACATTGGGGACAATGTCGTTGCAGCCTGTGTTTTTGATGGAAATCATACCTTGATTGTGGTCAGTATGGTTCCCTGGGCCTTTGATAAGTATTGTATCAGGCTGTTTTGCTTGAAAGGGGGCGTATACATACATGCCCAGAGCCCAGAGTGTCATGCAGGAGTCCTTCATCGAATGAAGTACCTCATCTGTTTTTGCCACAAAGAGGTTGGTCTTGTCAAAGGGCAGATCCTCAATCTTTTGCTTCAACTCCCTCGGTACCCCTGATGCTTGGAGCCAAGATATCTTATGCATCACAATAGCCGAGGCTGTGATGCAGGCAGCAGTGTTGGCAACATCCACTGCAGACTGTAATGTCATGAAAGACGGTCTGGCCCTCCTGCATGATGCTGAGGAGGATAGGGCTCTTGTGCTCGGGCAGAAATTGTATGAGCTCCTGCAACTTGGTATAACTGGAGTAATTGTAATCTGCTAGCACGGCAGTGTAGTTTGCTGCTGAAAGGATCACAGTGGCTGAAGAGTATACTTCGCATCCCATCATGTCCATCCTTTTGTGATCTTTGTCATGTGGTGTAGATCTGATATTATTAGGCTGTCTCGATTTGTGTCTAACGGAGTCAAGCACTAGGGAATTTGGGGGAGGGTGAGTAAAAAGAAAATCCATTCCCTTCAGTGTCATAAAGTACTTGCGATCCACTCTCTTATTGATGGGAGTGATGGACGCCAGAGTTTGCCAGATGTTCTTGGCATGGTCGATAATGCCTCATCAATCGGGAGGGCAATCCTGGAAGACTGGGGGATCTGCAAGCTTCACAAGAGGTGGTATTGCTTTTCTTGGACCTCCTGTAAATCTTCTTACACTAGTGCCACCCTTTTAAAAAGTTCCTGGAACTCTTTTTAGTTGTCTGATGGAGGCAGAGTGATGAAGATGACCACTGCTTCTGGTGAGGAGGAAGAATCAGGCAGGGGGACCTGTCTTCTCTTTCAGACAGAGAGTCCTCTATTTCAGTTTGGACAGGGGAGTTCGGCGGCGGCATGGATGGTACAGATTAAGGAGAGTGGAGTGGTCCTCTGGAGGTTGTTGAAGGTGCAACATGATGACTCTTCCTATGGGAACGGGAGTCCCATGGTTGTCATTGCCCAGAGTAAAAGGGTGGTGGGTAGGTGTAGTGGTGTGCATACCAGTGGTGGTGACGGTGGACATGCATGTATAATAGGACCAGTATCCCAAGACAGACCTCTCTGTGTTGGGCTGGAATGTTGCAATGAGAAGCGGCTGTGTGGCTCAGTGCTAGCTTCGCTTGGAGAGAATGGCAGAATCGGTGATCTATGGGAATGCACCGATTGTATGGAGAAGAATGGAGATAGTGGTGTCGATGATAGACGGCTAGGTATGGGAGACCTGTGATGTAGATGTTCCCATGTCGGGGCCGATGGCATTGATGGCAACGAGTGCTCGGGAGGCAGCATTTTGGCACGGGGTCTCTTAAGTACCGTGACCAGTGCCTACTGAGATGGCAGTTTTGGTGCTGGCTGGTGCTTGTGAAGGCTGGCTGGTGTGGCCAGTGCAGTCGGTGCCACCAGTGCCAGTTGTTTTTGTTTGGGCTCCCAGTGGGCCCTCTTGTGTGGTGCTGGCATCTTGGACAATGCCATGCCAGAGGTGCTGAGCCTGTTCACAGTACTTACCCTCATGGAAGTCAGTGCCAAGGGTAGGGATCTGGTCGGAGACAGCCTGGTTTTGGACATAGTTTTGCCAGAAGAGGTAGAGAGACACGTTTGTCCATACCTTTTGGCTCAGATGTTGATTTTAAGGTAGATTTGTCCTCAGAAGTTGGCTGGAGCGACTTTTTGTATAAAAAGGTTTTTAACCTGTTGGTGTGGTCACAGTGTGCTCTGGCTGTCAAGTTAGAGCAGTGAGGACACTTTTGTGTCTGATGGGCTTCTCCCAGGCACCTTATGCATGAGGAATACCCGTCGAGATGGTCATAGCATTTTGGCAAGACTCACATCACTTGAAGCCAGGGGATCCGGGCATTAGGTGTGACAAGACTCAACAGGCCAATGATGACGGAAGAAAAAAAGTTTTGGATTTTTTTTTTTTTGACGGGAAGGAGAGGGGCGAGGGAGGGATCTCAAAACTTGGAACTATGAGGAAAACTAGGGGAAATTAACAATTTTTTGTTGTTTTTTTTTTGTTGAAAAAGGGGTGAGACAAGGAGCTCTGACTGCCGCCGAGGACAGTCGAGAAGGAACTGAGGGGGCTGTGCCACAGATAACCAACACCAACGGCATGAGGGGGCACGTGTGCAGCACAGCGGACACGGATAGAAAAATCTCTGGTTGTGGTGCGAGGATGCACCAGCACCCGGAGTGGTGCACCCATGGGGACACTACTCGAAGAAGAACCAGTGCTACTGAGGGCATGCTGGTGTCATCAGAATCAAGGAAGACCTAAACTCCTTGACTCTGAGGACCATCTTGTGAATCAACAGGAATGGAGGGAAGGTGCTATAAGAGCATACCCTAGGGACACTGGACTGTGGTTGAGGAAGGAACAGAACCAAGGACACTTTGTGTTGCTGCAAGACACGAACAGGTCCAGATGGGAAAATCCCCACCTGAAGAAAATGTCCAAGGCCACATCCACCCTGAGGCACTACTCATGACCCTTGAAAGATCTGTTGAGCTGGTCCCTGCCAGATCACTGAGGCCCCAGAAGATAGGAAGCTACTGGGTGAATGGCATGGGTGATGCAGAACTCCCAAAGCAGGAGGGATTCTCGACATAGGGGAAAGGAATGAGAACCACCCTGTCTGTTGATATAAAACATTGCTGCCGTCTTATAGCAGTTGGTAGCAGAGATTTTACAATGCTACACCACTGCGTAGTGTGGTGAGTGAGAAAAAAGATGCTCATGGATGGCCTAGAGATCAAAGTCTTTGTGATGTTACCCACTGTCTTGTAGAGTGGCAAAGATACCCTGAAGGGGACTTCAACATTCAGGATGTCCACTGTCAGGTCAAAGTCCTCTGACCCACTTATCCTGAACCCCTAGGCTCTGAGCGAAATGCTTAACCAGGTCCTGGTGGATTTGGGAATCCATAGAGAGCATAGAAGGGGATGACACCTCTAAAGTCTCATCAGGAAAGGAAGACGAGTATTCTCTAGCAGCCTTATCCTTCTACTCTTGAGGATGCTCTAAACTCTGAGAAGCTGCCAATCGCTCAGGCAACCTCTGGGGGCTTGAGTCTGTGACCCCCTCCAGGGAGGATCTGGGAGACTCCCTATATGCCCATGGTCCAGGGCTGAGGAGTGAGGAAGCAGGGTGGCAGAGCGAGGCACCCACAGTCCTGAATGAGTGGAACCGAGGTTAGAAAGGGTGACCCCCCTGGGACTGCTGGTATGCCCATGGGATCCAAAAGGGCCATTGGGCCAAGTACTGCCATGGGGGACACATTTGTTGTAGGGACTGCACTGAGGTGTTGGGAATGGTGCTGAGAGCAGGAGTGGTGCAAGCAGTGGGAGTGGGAGACTGTGGTTCTGGAACTCAGGGACTTGATGTCCTAGTCCAGGGAGCAGTTCAAGCCCAATCACAGTAGAGCCATTGATGGGCCATGATGACCAGTGCCAGGAGCTGTATTGAACTCTGGCTGCAGGCTTGCCACGGTGCTGGGTAGGCATCAAATGCACCGGTGCCATGGAAGGCGCTTGTGCTGCTGAGGCACCCGGTGCTGGTCCTTCACTAGAGGCAGTGGTCGGTGCTGGGGGATGCAGCATGGACGAAAGTGCTGTTATCACCAGTGTCAGAGTCGGTACTGCCTTGGGAGGCCAACAGCCTATCTCTGGCGAAGCCAACATGTCAGTACGGGGCTGCGCACAGGAGTCCCTCTGTTGCACTGGTGCTGGCTGAGGAGGCAGGGGAAGATGTAAGTTCAATCAACTCCCTGGCTGCCTCAAAGGTGCTTGGGGTCAAAGGCCAGTTCACATCAATCGGGTCCTCATCCAGGCTGGGATCCCAGGCTAAGCTCAACTGGCACGAGGGCCCTGGAGCTACAGGCCTTGAAGCTGAGGTTGAAGAGTCGGAGCGCCCTGACTAAGGACTCTGCCTCGATCTGATCTACTCTTCTTTTGTGGCATCAGCACCTAGGAATGGTGCCAGGTGGTCATTTAGCTCCCAACATCCACATGTAAGGGATTATTCTTGGCATAGTCCCAATACAGACTCAATTTTGTACTTCTGCTAAAAAAATCTCTCTCCTAAATGATGTTTCCAACAATATCTAACTATTATAAAGTAAGATTTCTGTCTATACATAATAAGATATAGAGTTTAAGATTTGCATTTTAAGTATTTAAGTTTCTTATTCAGAGAATTCTTGCTTTGTAACAGGATTTTGGAAACTAGAAACATAAAAAGATATCCATAAAATGATACTGAAAAAATACAGTAGGGTTCTTTTTCAAAGAACAATTTAGCA